GATTACTGCCTTCTTATAACGGGGCTATGTGGTAATAAGGGGCCTTAGCAAGTTGAACAGGCTTTTGGGGTATATTGTCGTAGGGCGATGTATGTTACAGGCTGCAAGGGGGGCATTGGTTTTCCGACCCCGGCTAAAGTCGTAGTTTCATGTGGCGCCACTCAACCGCAGATGGAAACCAACCAGCAGAGCTCCCCAAGTATACGCCACCAAGCAAAAACAACTGCACCAATAAGGCTGAGATCTGTAGTCAGCGATTGTTACTTAGGTTGTCAGCTGACATACCCAGTCCCCTGCATGCATGGTCGCTTATAAAGAAGTATATGAACCCTGAACCCTCAGAGCTGTGTCCCGGACGGGACCACCCTCGGCCGCGGAGGCGTAGGAGGTGAGGGGACGCCCTGTTGACACAGTTGTAGGCTGCTTCACAACTTAGTCAACCCTAAACCCTAAATACCTTAAACTGGTTGTTCCCGCAAACAACGTGGCAACACCATGGTGTTCTTACGCTCCAGGGAAAGAAAATATTCGGATCATTTCCCTGCGAGGTGCTCCCCGGCCGGTGCTGGCGGCGATTCTCCCGCTGCGGCGTGATGCACGTATTCCATGGGCCACTTGCCACATCGTAATATCACCACAATCCCGATATGGCCACGCCCCCCAGAGACGCCAGTGACCGCAGGTTTCAAGAATTACGTGGGCTTCATTTTTGACTTGGAAGGGTTCCAAGGTCTGGGCAAGGCTAATGGACCTCTCACCAAAACCCAATTCCAATGAGTGAGGCTGCTAAATGATGGAAACAGGTGGTATGACAACGAAGCCTGCCGGCCGTCCGATATCACACAGACGCAGGACGCAGGAAAGAAGAGGGAGAAAGCCAGGTTTAGGGCTTGGGTATCATGTAGAGTTTAGGGCTTATAGGTGCAACGTCAAGCAATAGTTGGAACACTATATGCAGATAATACCAACAGGTTCTGCTGACTAACTAGACATGGTAATGATAGATAACTCGAAGAACATTCGATTCACTTTGCACTGAGAAAGATACTTATACAGATCTTGCAAGGTCATATCATGCAAGATGTAAACAAAGAATAGTACACAGCGCAGGCACAGTAGATGAACACGCCCTATAATCTCTACCTAAACTTTAACCCCTGAACCCTAAACCCTATAAGCCCTAAAGCCTAAACCGGCAACAAGTTGCCGCCTTTTGAGCTGGTGGCTGTCGATGAATCTTCCGGCACCTGCTGAGACAGTTGGGAGTTTCCGAGAATAAGGGGATACCTTATCTTGGGGTCCTTATAGGGTTCCTGTAAAGGGTTCCTATACGGGATCTACAAGGGTACTGTAAGGTTTGGGGGGTTTGGGTACCTTATTTTGGGGTCCTTATAATATAAGGATCCTACTATGTAGCGTGCTATATTAGGGTTCCCTATTTTCGGAAACCCCAGTTGCTCGACCTCTACCTATGGGGTTAAATGACGCGTTCTATAAGGGTTATCTGACAATTCTATGATGAGTTCTTTGAAGGTTTTCTTAGGGCTTGGGGGTTCCACACTGGGTTCTTCAATGGCTATATCAGAGCTCAACCTGCAAGGTTTGCCTCTGGCTCCAATTGACTATTTCTCCTAGTGTTTCCAAAGTTAGACCCTCCTCTAGTCAAGGGATCATGAACTGAGTTTATAAACCCTAAACCCTAAACCCCTAAAGTACAGGTTGAGAATGTTACAGTCGGGTGTCGACACAAAGGGAAGGATCCACCGCGTTAAAGGACCCCCCCTCCCCCCGCGCCGCGGCATGCCCAGACACGCTGGGTTTGTTCACTCAACGCTTGCTTGGGGATAAGGGTCACGCCCAAGTAGCCAGAACAAGAACAAACGGGCAGTTCTCTAAATTAGGGTCCCTTTTGGGGTATAAGGGTGCCGTACTATATTGGGGACCCAAAAAAGGACCCTAATTTAGAAAACTACCCAAACACACTCTTGAGAACACTGACGGCGAGCTGGTCCTTGTGAACCGCTACTCACTGTGCAGTTCGACAAAAGTCGGGCTTGCGCCCTTAACCCCATTAACTTGAACCCTAACCCCTCAAACCTAAACCCTAAACCCTCAAACCCTAAACCCTAAACCCTTAAACCTAAAGCCTAAACATCCCGTCCTGGTATAGGCGCAGGATCTCATCATCGTGGACGGCCAGGATGACCTCCGCGCTTATGAGGATTTCTTCTTCGGGATCTCCTTAGCTAGGATCCCTTCCCCTATGCTTCCAGGGACCTTATTATTGGGTCCTTTAGGGGTCCAGAACTCTAACTATAAGGTCCTTGGAAGCAAAAAGTTCTATTCGGGAACTTTGATTTTTGGTGGAGGGCTTGAGACACAGGGGTCTCCTGTTCGGTATGTCATTCTGCCAGCGTCAATCAAACCCCCAAAGAAACGACCATGACGACCTGGGCTACCATGACCAGGACGATCAGGACGGCCAGGGGACAACCCGGACCCTAAGCAGACCAAAGGAAACCACCGGGAGACCACCCAGCCAAGAGACAACCAGTAAACCAGGTCTAAATTGCTTCCCACGCCATGCATTCAGGGTATCCACATGCGTGATCACAATGCTTCCCTCCTTGTATTCCGTGTACTGGCGGGTTTCAGGTGCACGGCCAAAATTCTTCCCCGTATGTTCCTGGCAGGTTTCAGGACCGGTTTTTGGGAGAAAATTTCTGGCCGGATATGGCCGGATGCCCAACATGCTCCCCGGATGTACACGGTGCCACTGTATTGGAATTTACCAGGGATCTGGGTTTCTGGAAATCTGGCTTTCTGGCGGTGCGCTCATGCGGATCCTGTGTAAATAGTGGGACATGACTGCAAAGTGTGCACCGCACCACAGTGGAGCCGCGTCCCGGGGAACCTCCCGTCGTGTGCATGTCGCAGGTAAACACTTCTCTTGGCACTTTTTTGTTTTGAAACGGGTCAGGGGTTTATGGTTTGGGGATAGGAGTTTAGGGTTCAGGGTGTCAGAACACCATAGTGTACACCACGCTGCTTGGGGCTGGCATATCCAAAGATGGCATCTACGATTGTGGATTGACCTCTGGGATGTTTGGGGTTTCAATTACTGGGTAGAACCCTAAACATTGCTTATAAGCCGAGGTGTTACGACAGAAGTACCTCCCAAGCTAAAAAAACACAAACTCTTTGTTAAACAAATCCCAAACAAGCTCTTCAAACCGACGTACTGCCGACTTGAAATCTATCATGTCGTGCTCCATCACTGCCTTTACCATTCAGAAACACTCGCAGCGGCTGCTCAAGATGGTTCACCCCAGCAATATAGCCGTAAGGCAGGCTCCTCTTTGGCTAAAACCTTCTTCAAAAGCAAGTGTATTTTTGCAGCGCTCCCTGAACGTTAGAAATAGCTAACACACACCCTGAAAGCCTAAAGCCTGAACCCGAAACACACCCAAGTCCCCGTGTAGGCCTCAATATCCTCAACTCTTGAACACGGCCAACAGCCTGAAACAAAACAGGAACACCTATACATCCCACAGTGCTGCAGTATAGAGCCTTTGGGAACTTGCGAGGGAGTTGAGATCTATATAAGTGCCAAGCACTGCCATCCGGGCTCCACTTGCAGCCTTTGACGAAGTTGTTCCTGCAAGAGGCGAGTTTTACCCGAATGGGTTGGGATTTCGGGTAGATTATGTCTTCTTGATGCAAGAGTTACAGGGGGCTTATCAGCATGTTAAGAAGGTTGTGGGTTTTGCAAACCTCTTGCTATAAAGGACGATTACCATAGAGGGCTTTCTACAAGTGCTCCACTAAGTTTTCGCTATGTGGGCTTGAGATTCTCAGGACCAAACAAACCCCATATCATCTCCCATGTAGTGAGATATATATCCCCTTGTGCAGTGACGGTCATGTTGCCCTTAGAGGATTCAGGGTTTAGAGTGTTCAGGGCGTCGGCCGCTTAAGAGAGGGGCCTGAAACATCAGGGATACGAGTCTTGGGTTTAGGGCCTTTGGGGGCCCTAATCTGGGGTTTGGGGCCTCAGGTCTTCGGACGGGCGTTAAGGCTTGGAATTTGGGCTTCAAGGGGTTTACGGCCATTGCGGGGTGTATGACAGCATTCGTGACGCATGAGGACTATTGAAGCAACAACAGAAGCTAAGACTCGCATGCTAAGCTGAAACAAGAAGGTATCTTGCATGAGGCACACTGACGGGCCCGTTGCTCTAGGCGGGTGCTGGTTTTTGTGCGTGGCGCTGACCGTAGTTTCGGAACTGAAGGTCCAAAACCCCGGAAACTTAAACGACATACAGTTCAGTCGGCCATGTACGATTTGCGGGACAAGGCAGAACGGCATCAGTTCAGGCAGGCTCCGTTCCTCAACAGCATGAGCTCTCATTGCTATTACTGTATGTGAATGTGCTTCAGGCTTGCTAGTACTGCGAGTGCTCTGTGACTTCTACATCTCGTACTACTTACCATGATTGAACTAGGCCGCCTCCAAAAACAGATGACAGGGATGATGGTCACAAGGAACCTTGTTCGTGACGCAAGAGCCCATGAACTTTGGAAGTTCATGCGACTATTGCAACTTTACACAGCTTTGCCAATTCTGCGAATATTTAACGATGGCGATGATGCCATACCAGGGTGCTGTAATAGATGGGCCTTAATAATTAGAGTAAGGTTTCGGG